GTTGTTTCTCTCTCTTTTTCTCAGCTGCTTTATTTTCCATCATTTGGTCTTTTATATCACTAATTCTCTCTTCTGCCTCATTTATTCTAGCGCTTAGTGCCCCCATTTTTTATTGCACCTCATTAATAGCCTTTTTGATTTCTACTTGGTTGGATTTTAGCTCTTTTACTTCTCCAGAAAGGGTTTCTCTAATAACTTCCATATTTTTTTCAAGCCCAGGTAGTATCTTTAAAGTGATGATTCTGAAATCTAGATCTGACATCGTACTAATGTCCGTATTGAGTAGGTCCCTGGCAGTCGGTACTACCTCTTGTTCTTTTTATTGAGGTGATTTTTTCCGTCTTGTCATTTTGTGCAGAGGAGAATAGATTAATGAGAGAACAAAATGCTAGCAGAGTAACCACGTCCCCAGAAAATATACTCTAAACAAATCAGAAAAGACCTGAAGCAGTGGGATAAGAAAGGGAAAGAAAAAAAAAAAGAAAAAGAAAAAGATAAAGATAAAAACAAAAACAAACAATACAAAACAACAACAACAACACAAAAACCAGAATGTGATCAAATATGATCTATATGGTATATAGATCAGTGCCACACACTAGATTTGGGGTGTATTGTGGTCTTTTAGAAGAAAGTGCCTCCCAAAATTTTAAAGAAAGAAAAACTTATATATGTACAAAAATAAGGGTTGATATGATGAAGGGATGGAATATGACTGTAAAAATGGAAATTATAAAAAATGTTATAAAAGGAATGATAAGAAGTTGTTTGAAAAAAGAAGAGGATTTAAAAAAAGAAAAAAGAAAAGGAAAAAAAAAAGGGAGAGGATGTGATCAGGCAGGGGAATAGAAAACACCATACACTAGAGATTTAGGGTATATTTTAATCTGTTAGAAGAAACTATCTCAAAATTTTAAAGAGAGAACAACTTATATATATATGCCAAAAATACAGGTAACTACTATGAAGGGATAGAATATGACTCTAAAAATGAAAAATAAAAAAATTTTTTTTAAAAAGAATTGATAAGATGTTGGTTGAAAAAGGGAAAAAGAAAAATCCAAAAAGAAATAAAAAGACAAAAAGACAGTTAAAAAAAATTAACTTTAAAAGAATAAAGAATCATGGTAAAAAAGCCATGAATTCTATGTGCAGTAGTCCCCTAGCGCTGGAGTTCTGCCGTTCTCATTGATCGGTAAACTTGGTCTTGGCTGGCTGTTCTCGCTGATCTTCTTGGGAGGGGCCTGTTGCCGTGGTTTCCAAATGTCTCTGCCAGAGGCGGAATTGCCCCGCCCTTGCCCCCTCCTAGCTATGTAATCTGCTCGGGTTTGCTCTCCGGGCTTTTGTTCCCTGCGAGCTTTCCGTACAGCTTTGGAGGCAGAGAGTGAAAATGGCAGCCTCCCAATCTCTGCCCTGGAGGAGCCGAGACCTCGGGGCCCCGCTCCTCAGTGAGCCCCCAGAGAAAAGCCGTCAGTCACTCCCGTCTCCCCGGTCTCCGGACGCACTCTGTGCTCACCCGGCCTGCGACCGCGCGCCTCTATCTCTGGCACCCGGCCCCGGGTGGAGTCTCCAAACCCAGCAGATCCCTGCGGTGCACTCCCGCGTGGCCCCCCCCCGGGGGAGGAAGGTGATCTCCCTGGATCTGCTGCTTGTGGGGTCCCTGCTGGAGGAGCAGGGGCCCGACTGTGCCGCGGATTACGGTTTATGGCAACCCCGAGCTGAGAGCCCGCGCCTGGGCTCCGCCTCTGCAGCTGGCTTCCCTGCTCCATTACCTGGGAGCTCTGCCACACTCAGGCACCCCTGGTCTTTCTGTGACCCCGAGGGTCTTGAGACCACACTGTCCCGGAGGGTTCCACCCCCCGCTTAGCCACCAGAGTGACGTCCCTCAGCGGAGCAGACTTTTAAAAGTTCCGATTTTGTGCTCCACGGCTCTATCACTTGCCAGAAGCGGCCAACAGAGGCCCCTCCCCCGCCGTCTATCCTCCCGAATATCACCTCGGATTCACTTCTCCGCACGTCCTACCTTTCAGAAAGTGGTCGCTTTTCTGATGAGAGAGTTGTTGCTCTTCTTTTCTTCAATCTCCTGTTGAGTTTGTAGGTGTTCAGAATGGTTTGATCCCTATCCAGCTGAATTCCTGAGAGGAGACGAAATCCAGGTCTCCTACTCCTCCGCCATCTTGCTCCGCCCCTCCTATTATTTCTTCAAATACATTTTCTGCCCCCTTTTCTCTCTCTTATCTTTCTGGGATCCCTATAATGATAATGTTTTATGCTTTATAGTGTCAGTGAGTTCCCTAAGTCTATTTTCATTTATTATTATTATTTTTGCTCTTTCACATTCTGCTTGATTGCTTTCTTTTCCTCTGTCCTCCAGGTCCCTGGTCTGTTCTGCTTCCTCTAGTCTAGTCTTTATTCCCTCTAGTGTATTTTAAATTTCAGTTATTGAGTTCTTCACTTCTTTAAGATTTAATTAATTAATTAATTAACAGAGAGAGAACACAAGCAGGGGGAGCAATAGAGTTCTTCATTTCTGATTGGTTCTTTTTTATGTTTTCTATCTTTTTGTTAAGGGTCACTCTGAGGCTTTCCACTCTTTTTTCAAGTCCAGTGAGTATCTTTATGACCATTACTTCAAATTGGTCATGTTACTCATCTTTGTTTCATTTAGCTCTCTTGCTCTGATTTTGTTCCTTTTTTCATGTCATATTCCTTTGTCTCCTCATTTTGTCTAACTCTCTGAGTCTGTTTCTATGTGTTAGGAAAGTCAGTTATGTCTCCTTCTCTTGAAAGTAGTGGCCATATGAAGATGTCCTGTGGTGCTCTGCAATGCAATGTCCCTGGTTCACCATAACCTGGCACTTCAGGGGTGTCTTCTATGTTTGTTGCATGTACCCTGCTTTTGCATTCAGTACAGTTGTCTGCAGTGGCTCTCTTTGTCTCATGGTCAGGGTTTGGTCCCTGTGTTGTTAGGAGGCAAATCTGGGGCCACCTTAGGATTGATTTGAATCAGACCATGCATTTGCCAGAGCTGTGGCAGCACCAAAGTGCAGGGTGCTCTCCTTGTCTTGTCCCCTGAGAAGCTGTCATTGGTGGGTGGGTCCTTCAGTCAGACCAGATGTGTGCTCCCAGCCCACTGCTGGGTTTGCAGTCGGAATGGTGTTTGTGGTTATCTTCTTCTTTCCCTGGGGCAGGAGTCACTTTGGAGTGGTTCTGACCACTATCAGGTTTGCTTCACTCTGTCAGGCTTGTGGCACTCCTTTGGATGGTCTCCGGCCAAGGGCATTTTGGAAGGGTCATGTCCACAGGAGAATGTGGGGTGGGGCACGCAGTGCCAGGAAGATCTAGGCTATTGCACTGCAGAAGGAGACCTCCAGCCACTCTGGGAAAATTGCCCAGTCTGGGATGGAGGGGATAGTTTGTAAAAAAGCACAGGGGTCATGCAATCTTTGTGGAGAGTGCTCATCCTGCACTGGTTCCCACAGTTGTCTGGGTAGGTAGGCTGTGGGGAAGTGGAGGGAAATGGCACCAACAAGCTCTTTTATTCTAGGAGTCTTCCAAAGATCCCTCCCCCAGCACATGTTCTGAGATTAGTAAATAAATCTCCTTCCTGTATACCCTAGGCATTTTTCAAACTGTTGCTTCTATGCTGCATTTCAGTGGGGCTGTTTATTGTGCTGTCTGTTTAAGGGCAGGGACTCAGGTTCCAATCACCCTCTGGCTTTCCCAGAGTGGAGCTGCTGAATTTTAAAGTTCCAGGTGTTAAGACTCACTGATTGTAAGAACTCACAAAACAGGTTCTCTTGGTTTTCAAAGCCAAATATTATGGGAATTCATCTTCCCAGTATGGGTCCCTAATGCCTTTGGTGTCTGGTATAGGGTCTGCTCCTCTCTCTTTTCCTAGCCCAAGGTGTCCTTCCCTCCCATGGACAGTCCTATGGGTCAGTTTGACTCCTGACCATATCTCTGCCCTCTCTACCCTCTTTGATGCGGCTTCTCTACATTTAGCTATGGAGAGTCTGTTCTGCCAGTCCTCAGTTATTTTCTGGTTTATTTACTCTGATGTGGATGTTATTTAGGTGTAACCACAGGATGAGGTGACAAGTAAGGGACAAGGATCCTCCTACTCTGCCATCTTCCCCAGAAGCAGCAGTTTTAGATTTTATCGTTCCTCACTAAAGAGTTTGGAAACACTAGGAAAAACTATACTATTATAAAGAATGTTTGTTTGTTAATTAAGCTAATTTTGTGGGTTTTTTATTAATCTCTTTTGTATGTGTTATTTTTGTATGGGTGTGTGTATGACGTGTGTGTATGTGTATGTGTGTGTGTGTGTGTGTGTGTAACCCTTTTGGGAAGGATGTAAGATAGTTTATTATTGCTCCAGAAATAAGTGTACAGTGAGTTGTGTGATTAATAGCTTCATGTTTAGAAAATTAAGGCATAACATTGATATTGGCTCATTTTCATCATCCTCCTGGCCAAATAAAAATGAAGGGGAAAAAACCCTAGAAGGAGATTTTTTTCTCCTGAGTATATTGGAATACCCATTGGGATGGGAAGAAAGCTCTTGAGAGAAAGGAAGAAGACACAATATTGCTGAAACTTTCTTAGGAATTGTTACGACCTGAGGCCATTTTTTCCAACAGAAATCTATAACCTTATTTCCTTGCCTTCATATATGGAAAAGCCCTAAACCACATGACATTTCACATTATTCTTTACTCAGTGGGGATTAGACCAGAAATACAATAGCATTGCCCATATATTTAAAACATTATCTTAACAATAACAACAATAACAATAACAATTCAGGCTTTCTTACCTTCCTTGTGCTCTTCCCTGCTGGTGTTTCATTGTGTGTAACTTATCTAAAGTTCCTGAAGAATTGAAGAAGATTTTTTTTGAAATATAATAAAGCCTTGATTAATTGGAAGCAAACTAACCAGAACTCTCAATTAACCAGTTTTATTTATTTATTTTTTGCTATACTCTCCTTTTAGAAGGAAGAGGCAAATGACAAGAAAACAAGCTGTTAACAGGTATTTATGTATTTATTTTTTAAAAATCAACTTCCTGGGAATGTCCTGGAGCCTATACAGATTCAGCCCAACTTCAATAATTTTGTTCCCTGTACTGTAATTATTAAGGTAGGAAAGTAGAGCCATTTAAAATTTTCAGAGCAAATGCCAAATCTTTCTTAATCCTTAGTTAATAATAAGAAATATGAAATCCAAATAGCTAATTAGACCCTGTCTATCCATTTGAGGGTACTAGTTAATTGGGTCTCCACACTTTCATTATCAACAATAATCATTCATATTTATTAACTGGGAATGGATCCTAGGACCATGCAGTGGGAAGGTGACTTCCAGTCACAGGGAACAACTCCTTTCCTGGGAACTAAAGCAGAAGCTAGGGAAAGGCTGCAAAGTTAATATGGGTTGAGTGAGGGTCATTGACACAAAAACCATGACACCTATGTAAAATAACGAGGAGGTAATTCACTCACCCCATGACTCTGGAATGCTTAGGAAGGTACATTCACTTTTGCAGGGCAACACAGGTTATTAAGTGTGCTGTATAAAGCAATAAAGGAAAAAAAAATAAGCCATCTAATCTTGTGGAGCTGTTCTAAGCATTAGGCATGGATATATTCTGTAAGCACGCTAGTAGTTCTAAAATATTTGAAATTATTTTTTTCTAAAAATACATTTTTAAAAAAAATTTGGAAGTCTAAGAAGATTTATGTTTGAAACTTCTTAAAGTTATCTATGGCAATTTCAGTTGAATTGCAATCAGAGATACCATATTGCTCTAGGCTTTATACCTTTTAGGTTGTAATGGGGAGAATAATGGACAGTAACTCAAAGAAGCAAGGGAAAAGGAGGGCAGCCCGTGGTAATAAAGTACAGAAGTACATTTTGATATTGCCTGACAATTGTGCCCCCTCTTCTCTTCCATATACCTTTCTCAAGTTAAATCACCCTTTGGTGACTTTTCCCCAATTTCTTCAGGGCTGCCCTTGATAATATGTTTTTTCTACAACAAAAATGCCATAGGGCTATGGGGGAGATGGGGACCACACCATGGGGGTTTTCAATGTAGAAAATGAAAACCACTCTGGTGATGTTTGTAATATCTGGGACATTTCCTATACTAAATATTACTTTTAAATATCATGCACACTAAATAATACCCAAGTGACCTGAAGCAGTGGATGTGCCTCCTTAAGTGCCAAACTTTCTATTAGAATGTAACTTTAGTGCTGGGGGAGATTAGAACCCACTAGATTTCATTAATGAATGATTTTAACTGAAAAACTTTACATAGTTTGAGTTATGAGTTTAGGTTTGGGATATTGAAAGTAAATGTTTTTTTATTTTAAATGAATGCAATTGAATTCAGACACTGAAATTGACTTTCATTTTATTTTAGTTTTCCTAGTAAAATGACATGCAAATTAATATAATGTTGTCTTCATTTAATTAATTATAACAGTAGTTTATAACTGTATAGATTTATTTTAGATTAATCAGAGCACACATTACATATGTACATATATATGTAATGAGTTTTTACATTTGCTGTAATTTGAGAAAAACCATGAAATGTTCTTAAAAGTATATGCACTTATTCACTTACATAAACTACAGAGAAACAGGAGAGTCGCAAACTCTAATGCCTACTGATGCAAGGCTGGTAATGTAAATGAAAGTCCGTAAGCAATAGGAAGTGGTGTGGACTAGGGTGACCTAGAGAGTATATATTCTTTCCAAAGGTGTCAGCTATTACTCAGTGTAGCTGATTGCCACCATGTGGGAATGTAGGCCAAATATTGTTAAGCTCTGAGTTTTTAAGAGAAGCCAGGAATGCAGATTTTTATATGAAATTCCCTAATTCTTAAATGTTGGTAACCAACTCAATAAAAGCAAAAACAAAAACAAAAAAATAAAGAAAAGAAAAAGAAAGAAACACTATGTAGGCTGAAGAAAATCATCTATGGTCTGGATCTAGCCCATGGGCTGTCAGTTTGCGACCTTTGTTTTAAATTGTAAATCCTCTAGGTACTGCAGTTTAAAAAAAAAATCACAGTATGTTATAAATACACCCAAAGATCTTGATGATGGAAAGTTCATGTAAAGTGAATTAAAAATAAGTGGAGTGCTTGTAACTAATTCTCCCGGGACTCAAATTGGTGGGTATGCACGTCATGATTTTTCCTTACTATATGGAAATAACCAAGATAGTTTTCCCTTAATTTGGTTTGAAAATTAAGATAAAATTATGATTTTTTTGCTTTCATATTTATCAATGAAATGCAGTATGAAAGATCATTACTGCCATGTCCAAAGAGAACATTTAAATATAGGTTCTGTCACATAATATAATTATGGCTTCTATTTAAAACCTAATTCATGGTGCTTTAATAGGAAGAAAACCATATATATAGTATGTGTTCTTTTAATTTTAAGTTGACTTGCCTTTCAACAAATTTCCAATTTCTTCTAGCAAAATTCCTTTATTTTTACAAATGGTTAAAGAAATAAAAGAAATGTAAGTAGTTAACACAATAAAACTTCATTTGAACTTTTCATTGGCATTGGCAAAGATAAAACAAAAGTTGGTCATCTGAAATTTTTGTTTGAGGTAACTGTTTGATTGATCTGAGACTTCACTTATTTGTCTGTCTTGCCCTGGACCTTAGCACATAATCCCACTGTGCCACAATGCTTTTAACATTTGTATGCCCCTTTTATCACTGGCAATCCAAAAATATACTTGTCTAAAAAGGAAACAATTAAATTCCAATCTTTTTAGAAAAAAAGAAAGAAAAATAAACCCAAACTTCATTGTTTTAATGGCCCCTATAATGTGCACCATAAATCCTTAGTCAGGGTGGTCAATTAAGGGGCACCTGGGTGGCTCAGTCAGTTAAGCATCTGTCTTCGGCTCAGGTCATGATCCTGGGTTCTGAGATCGAACCCCATGTCGGACTCCCTGCTCAGCAGGGAACCTGCTTCTCCCTCTCCCTCTGCCTGCTGCTCCCCCCTGTTTGTGCTCTCTCTCTCTGTCAAATAAATAAATAAAATCTTTAAAAAAAGGGTGGTCAGTTAACATTGTCATTTCTGATGAGAAACTTATCAGAGGACTAAAAAAAGAGAAAAGTGAAATTAGAGAAATAAAAGAATGCACAATCTCAAATTCTAAATTAACTTAAAAATGCCTCCCATTTGTCAACAAATTATTCTAGTTGCAGATTTAACACAGACATATATGAAAGATGAGAAATTGTTGGACAGCTTGTCAATACATATGACGATGTGCAAAATAGGTGATGTTTAACTAAATAGAATTTGTGTAGACAGTGCTTCCCTTTGTAGCTCATCAGATAGTTTTGACCACAAGTAATCTGTTGTGTGATAGGATGAACAATGTTTACATATACTAATTAATTAAAATCGTTCTCCAAAAACTCTAACTGGAAATTCTTAGTTAATTGGTTAGTCCTTAGAGGTAGAGAATATAAGAAATGAGTGATTTTTGATACATTTAACCAGTGTAGACATATAAAGAAGGTAATTCAGGAAAAATTTTGATGAACAACTACTACTCTTATTTTTGCCAGAACATAATAATATCTAACATTTTTCAGACATGATATCCCAGGTTATTTTAGTTCATTTAATCTTCATAACAACCCTACAAGGTAGGTGATATTATTGTGATCCTTGTTTTACAGATGATGGTACTGAGGCACAGAGAAGGTTAAATGACATATCTGAGACCACACAGCCTACAAATATCAGAACCAGCATTTGAATCAAGACAGTTTGATTACAAAGTTCATATACTTAGGATCAATATATTTTACAACCTGACAACTGGAATCAGACTAATTACCAAAACACCTCATTTCATTATATATATATAAAATTCTGAAATCAATTTTGGTAGCATCATTTCGATTGTGTAATAAATTACCAAGATTGATTATAAAATAGCTCAAATAAATCAGGAAATAATGAGAGACATTGTGGACCAATAACCAAGTCTACATTTTGTTACATTTGATTCAGAGCTCATTTTTAAAAAAATGTATCTGTAAAGTATTATGATATAACTAACACTAATCTCCTTTCTCCTCCACCCTTCATTAGCGTTAACCACTGTTTTAAAATTTGCGTGAATTATTGCTTGGTGTTTTTTTATCATATGTGTATTTATGCACAAACAATATGCAGTATTAGTTTTTGTTTTTTTAAAATGTACCTAAATGGTTTGGTACTATACTATCCTTTTGTAATCATTGTTTTTACATTATGTTTTTGAGATTTATCTATGTTGATACATGCTGATCCAGTTCATTTATTTTTTAATTGTCCATTCTACTATTTAATTTCATGAGTATACCACAGTTTGATTATTCTTTACTATATTGATGGACACTTAGATTGTTTTCAATTTTTTGTTATCACATACAGTGCTGTAAATGGATATCATGTTTTCTTGTGCCCTTGTGGGAGAATTTTTCTGGGGTATAAACCTAGAAGTGAAATCATTGAGTTGTGGAATATGCACATCTTCAAGTTTAATAGTTATTGTTGAATTGCTCTCCAAAATTGTTCTGACTTACATTCCCACTAGTGTTATACAATAATTCCTATTTTCCCAAATTTTACCAATGTAGAATTTTTTTAAAGATTTTATTTATTTGAGAAAGAGAGAGAGTGAGAGAGAGAATGAGTGTGGGGGAGGGGCAGAGGGAGAGAGAGAGAGAGAGAAGCAGACTCCCACTGAGCAGGGAGGCCGATTCAGGGCTCGATCACAAGACCCCCAAAATTATGACTTGAGCCAAAGGCAGATGTTTAATGTATGTTTAACTGAGCCACCCAGGTGCCGCTGTGGTAGATATTTTTAACAAACAATTCCTTTGAAGAAAAAAATTATTATTTTTATTGATTCTCTTTCATGATTATACCCAGAGATGAACCACTGATTCTGATCACTTAGGGCACATAACGATGCTTACTGAAACTAT